ATTCCGGTCAAGGGCATGTACCTTGGTTGTAGGCACATCCCCAGTGGGGGGTGTGCAGCAGGCAGCTGATCGATGTTTCTCTCTCATCGATGTTTCTAACTCTCTATTCCTCCCCCTTTCTCTCTGTAAAAAAATCAATAAAATATATATATATTAAAAAAAAACTAGTGAGACTAATTTAAAAAAAAAAAAGAAGTAATACACTAAAAATTATAGAGATGGAGAACAGATCAGTGGTTGCCAGGGGATGAATGTGGGGACAGAGTGGCCATGACTATACAGGGTAGCAGAGAACCTGATGATGAACTGTTCTGTATTTTGAATACGGTGGAGGTCACATGAATCTCCACATGTGATGGAAGTGCACAGAACTAAACACACACACACACAAAAACACAAATTAATGGATATAAAACGGGTGAGATAAGAATAAGTCTGTAGATTATATCAATATCAACTTCCTAGTTCTGATGTACTAGGAATATGCAAGATGTTACCCTTTGGGAACTGGGTGAAGGGTATACAGAATCTCTCTGCATGTTTTCTTACAACAGCATGTGAATCTACAATTATCTCAAAATAAAAAACTTTTTAAAAAATCTCAAGAAAAAATGTAGTATATTAGAGTAAAAACAATTCTGGCTTATTTAAAATCTTGGATAAACGAAAGAGGCTAAGAAATAAACCACACCTTCTCCCTAAATCCCTTGTTAGAAGCTGAGGTGGGAAGAAAGGACATGTGGTTTCAGTCTGGGTTCCATAGCTCTGCAACCCACAAGTTCTGTAACATCAACACAAAACACTACTATAAAACATACAGAGAATATTGTGTTTTGTTAAAAAATAATAATTGAATTGTTTTGCTAAGTATATAAGCAATGCATACTTGTTATGGAAAATTTAGAAAACAAAGGCAGATAATGAGAATAAATAAAATAAGAATCACAAAACCCAGTAATAATATCGTCTTATGGCCATTTTTTTCTAAGCTTACATGTGGATTTTGGAGGGTGGAAAGAAGCTAGATTAGATTACATTCTAAATCAGGAATCAGCAAATTACAGCCACAGTCAAATCCAGCCAAACACACATTTTAGTACAGCCTTCCAGTGGATTTTTATATTTTTATGTTTATAAACCTACACAATATCCTCTTGACCTTTATAGAAAAAGCTTGCCAGCCCCTGCTCTACACAGAATTTTTGTAAAAAGCTTTTTTCAATTAAAAATATAATATAACTCCTTATTTCTGGATAGTTAGCCTGTTCTAAATTTTTATATTATAAACAAAGTTGTAACGAATACTATTTTCTAATTAACTATTTTAAATATGTTTATAATCATTATTTTCTAAATAAATAACTTTATCTTATGGTAAAACAGAAATTTTAATAAAATTATTAATGTTGTATATAAATTAACTAGACAATTATCTCTTCTCCATAAAAGAAATCAAAGTTCAAAGATTCTGAAATTGATACTACTTTCTCTACTAGTTGAGTAAGTCAAACTGTAACATCACCCAAAATATCATCTTATACATCAGCAGGAGTTCAAAGGAAGTTTTTGGGTTTTTTTTTTAACCCTGTCCACTTATACAAAAATACATAGAGGAAGAGTCTGGCATAAAATTAGAGAGAGCACAATGAAGTTGGAGGCAGTAGTTGAACAAGAAGTTCGAAGAGCAAGGTTTAAAGTCAGATCACTGGGTTCAAATTCATTTTACCAGCCCAGTGACCATGGGCAAGTTAACTAAACACTGTTTCTTCACCTTGAAAAGGAATTGTTTAAAAACCCTTCCTTATATATCACTTTTTTTCTCCTTAAAATGAAATCTTTAATACAACTTAGCTCCCAGCAGCTTTTAAGGTAACTACTTCCCTTTGGATTTATAAAATAAACTATAATTTCAATGACTCAGAAATTATACCAATGAGCACGCAATATTTATTAAAAGAATGATAAAAGAATAAATATTGCAGAACCTACAGCGGTTATTTTTTTATATAGGTTTTTTGAATGTCAAGATTCGTTTGTAAAACTTTCCATCAATTTTCCCACTGCCAACATGCTTCAGGTTACAATACTGTTCAAGATTAGAAGAAAACTTTTTGTTCCTTTTCCTGTTTGTTTTTTAAACTAATCCATTAAAATTTTTTAAAGACGACTGGCCTGTTCCTCCCCAAGGCTCAATTACCTATGGCCCTACTTTACCACCCGAGCCTTGGAAAGGCTGTATTTATTAGCACTGCAGAACAAGTTCATGATAACCCGGTTGGTTAGCTAGAAATCCCCAGGCTCCTGAATCACCACCTTACCTCAGACTCATCGGTAGATTCTTCAAGAGACACGGTTTCCTACAAAGCAAAGAGGGGGGAAATGGTCAGAATAATGACAAATAATAAAAAAATATTTTCCAGGGAAAAGAGTTCTTATGTCCCCACCAATATCCACCTGCCCTTTTCTGGAGGTATCTGCAAATACAATGTAAAGGACTCCACATGGTCCAACGCTCACAGACCTCCTACTTCTCCACACCCCACGGGACTGAGATGGTTACTCGGGGGCCTCACAAATCCAGTTCCTGCTGACCTCCTTCAAGTGGTCAGGAGGTTAACAAATTGTCATGTGAGGAAGCGGAAGGCTCTTCTCTTGCTAAAAATGCAAATCGCTCTGGCAAAGCAGCCTTACCCATCTCAGAAAGGAAGAGGAAAACTGCCATCTCAAAATATCTACAAGCCAATTTTTCTACTGAAAAGCTCTTGTGCTATTAATTATTATGCTATTCATCTGGTTGAGTCAAAATGATTGTCTTGCTTAAACAACATTTACAAAAGAATTCCCCTGGAGTGGTACCTATCAGACACTGGGCAAACAAGCTGTATAATTTATATCCACTCTTTAAACCATTAACTGGAAGACAAATTCTGCCATTTAACACAGTTTCCTTCTTGCTGGACAATGAATCTTGCTGCTCTGTGGAAAACAAAGCAAAAAGGGGAAAGATTGACTTGATCCTGCTAATCTCTCACCTGTCCACTGAAAAAGAGAATCTGCTGATGCCATGCATCCTCAAAGAGGTCAGCAAAATGAAGATTTACTTAACGTGCTTATAGATATCAACAGCAATAAAAGGCTACAACTAATACGCTGACACAGAATGTAAGCATTTCACAACAATCCATGAGATAAAGAAAGAACAAAAAAAAATTGAGGCAAGGGCATAATATTGTTTTAGACATAACAATTTTTTTTCCAACAAAAAGAATGAACATTTTTTTAAAAAGTTAGATGCACATATTACTCAATGCAAATTGGATAGCAGGATAAATGCAAATCTGGTGTTTTAAAACATTTTAAGTTCATTCATGGAAAATCAGTAAGAACCCGGCAGGTGGCAGGCTGCCTGGGCATCAGTCTAGTGGACAATTTAGCCTCTGCTCTCAAAAAATATCTGGCCCTGGCCAGTTTGGCTCAGTGGATAGAGCATCGACCTGTGGACTGAGGGGTCCCGGGTTCGATTCCGGTCAAGGGCATGTACCTTGGTTGTGGGCACATCCCCAATAGGGGGTGTGAGGCAGATGATTGATGTTTCTCTCTCATCGATGTTTCTAATTCTCTATCCCTCTCCCTTCCTCTCTGTAAAAAATCAATAAAATATATTTTTTTAAAAATATCTGTAAAGTGGGATGAAAGTTCCTTGTAATTAAGACTTTTATTGCAGTTCCATCATTAACCATGATGAATATGAGACTCTTCTTTACATTCCAATGCAGCCGATTTCGTTTAATGTTATTCTAAGTATTAGGATGTTCGTACTAATTTGGAGCTACAATCTCTCCACAGTAACTTTTTATTCTTAACACCAATAAGACCCAGAAAAAAATCCTATTATTCTACTACGATCTGACTGTTCTCCAAGAGTTAATGATACATACCATGCCTACCCTTCTAAATTTTATTTTTCCTCTGTGCTAACCATCCCCAGTTTCAGGTTTGAGTCCACTTGCCATCCTTACTCTTCACTCTTTTGAACATACCCTCACTTAATATTAACAGTCACTATTCTGACATCTTTACTGAACATCTATTATATATATTCTCATAATGCTAAATGCTTTACAGGTAGCATGTTAAAATTTCCTAACTACCCCTGCAGTCCGAACACTGAGGCTTAGAGGATGAACTTCCAAAGTCCCTGAGTATTACGTTAGCATTAGCCGAAACAAGCTTTGACAACTGCGCCAATGAACCAGACATAGGTTCCTATTTCCCAACTCTAGTATCTGAAACAATACTGGACTACTCTTTTCAGAAAAATTACATTAAACTGGAGGAATTTTTTTTTCTTATTTGGACTCCATTTAAAAAAAGGACAGGGGGGAAAGCGCAAATATCCCATTTACATTCTTGATTTAAAAAAAGACTTAAGGCCCCACTCAGCAATTTCAATCCAAAAGCTCTAAACCAGATCACACTCTTGTTCCCCACCAGAACGCAGTCCGATCTCAGAAACCTGCGTCGTTAGGTTTAGAGGCACTTCCTGTGACTGCCAGTATCCATCAAGAACATTTACTCCAGGTCTCGCTCAGACTTCTCCTGCGCACCAGTACAAACCTCACAAACACAGCTCTGCCTCAAAAAAATTACCTTTTCCCACAATCCTACCAAAGCAATGCATGAGTGACTTTGAGAATTAGCCTGCTCTGTTATTTCTTAGCTTCATTTATTCATCAAGCCCTATGCTTAATGCTCTAGAGCAGCGGTTCTCAACCTGTGGGTCACGACCCCTATGGTGGTAGAACGACCCTTTCACAGGGGTCGCCTAAGACCATCCTGCATATCAGATATTTACATGACCATTCATAACAGTAGCAGCATTACAGTTATGAAGTAGCAATGAAAATAATTTTATGGTTGGGTCACAACATGAGGAACTGTATTTAAAGGGCCAGAAGGTTGAGAACCACTGCTCTAGAGACAGGCAAGTAAGAAATGACATGAGTGTCCCCAGTGAGGGATCCTAGAAACAAGGGTGAACCCTGAGAATGATTATAATTTAGAAAATCAGCAGTTTTCAAAAAATCTTTTTTCTTTTAAATACATTTTTATTGATATCAGAGAGGAAGGGAGAGGAGAGAACAACAGAAACATCAATGATGAGAGAGAATCATTGATTGGCTGCCTCCCGCATGCCCCCTACTGGGGATCGAGCCCACAACCCAGGCATGTGCCCTAGATCAGAATCGAACCCGGGACTATTCAGTTCACAGACTGAGGCTCTATCCACTGAGCCAAACCGGCTGGGGCGATTTTCAAAAAATTTTTAAGTATACACCCTATCTTTCAAATAATCTAACTTCAAATCATGAAAATGTAAGTTATGAAACTGTGCTGTTCTCTAAGTAAAATAAGCCAGATACAAAATGACAAATATTCTAGGATTACTCTTATATGAGACAGTAAAATAGAGGTGAGCAAGGCTGGGGGAGGGAGAGTTTCAGTGTGAGATGATGAAAAGTTGTTGAGATGAATGCTGGTGATGACTGAACAACAATGTCAATGTACTCAATGGCACTGCATCATCCATTTAGAAATGGTTAAAGTGGTAAATATGGTATGTATATTTTACCACAATAAAAAAAAAAATTGTGCTGTTCCGGTTATAGCAAAAATGGTGGGCTAAAAGTTACCCAGTGACACAAATGCATAGCCAGACAAATTCTGGGCAAAAGGCTGAAAAGCTAAACTCAATAATTGTTTCACTTTACCTTTGTTTTGCAGACCAAGCCCTTAAACTCAATCATCTATCTAAACCTAATGCTCTCCCTAGCTTGACATGCGACCCCTCGAATCTATTCACCAACTGCGTCAGAATACCTTTCAAAACACACATCAGACTAGTCACTACTTCCTCAAAGAATCCTTGGGACTCAGATTTCAGATTCCTCAGCAAGGTAGTCAAAGCCCACCCCAACCTGGCCCCAAATAGACTTATAACCTCACTTCCCACTCTGCACAAGTCCAGGGCCCTCCAGCCACATGGGGTGACTTCTCACCAAGATGTCACATGCTCAGGCCTCTATGCCAGAGGTGACAAAAAGGTGGCCCGCAGGTGTTCTGTTCGGCCTGGATAGTGTATTTAAGACTTCCACATAGCCCTCGCTGGTTTGGCTCAGTGGACAGAGCGTCAGCCTGCGGACTGAAGGGTCCCGGGATCAATTCTGGTCAAGGCACATGCTTGGGTTGCAGACTTGGTCCCCAGTATGGGGCATGAAGGAGGCAGCTGATCAATAATTCTCTCTCATCATTGATGTTTCTATCTCTCTCTCCCTCTCCCTTCCCCTCTGAAATCAATAAAAATATTTTTTTAAAAGACTTCCACATAAAAATCTGTATCTCTGACTTCATAAAAATCAGTCTACATGTTTACCAGAATCTACATTTCCATATAACATCAGCTGGAGCTGAGCAGCTATACCCATAAGACAGAATGCACTTAACCCATCAATACCTGTAACTCCTGATTCTCTTATATCAAGACAATCCCACTCATTTCCATTGCCACGTGCCTGCCTTGAACTTGGGAAGTTTGCACTGAGTCTTTCCTAAGTTCTTCCCTCAGCTTAGAAGGCCCTTGGCCCAACTCTACACTCATCTTAGCAGTCTTCCAACTCCCAGCATGCTCTACAGGTTCAAGGAAACCCACAAGGGTACCTCCGGGAGGTAGGTAGTCAACAACAGAGTTCTAACTTCATGGTTTATATGTTGCCAATTACTGCTTTGTGTTGTGTGTTTTTTGAGTTTGAAATGTACTGGCTGTTTCTAAATCCTAACCTTTCTTCCCAACTTACGTCTCACCTCTTTCACATAATTGTCTCTAGTGAGCCAAAGACACAAGGTCCAGACCTGGGCTCCTGTGGCCTTTGTTTCTTCCTATAACCCTCAGCTCACACATAACATTAACAGCCTTATCCTAAGTTATCCTTTAAAATACACTGTAGCTAAGCCCAAATGCTTTTGCCTCTTGTCTCTCATTATCCTACCCAAAGGAACAGTTCAACACCATTTACTGGTGATGATGATAAAAAATAAGCAACCGATCCCTCCTTTATAAATTCCTTTTCTACTTATGAGCAATAGCAGGTGCCTTTTCTCCAGGCAGATGCTTCTATTAGCTTATGGCTACAAGAAGGGGCTTGCAGGAAGACAGCAGCAAACAAGGATAGAGATTCAAATGGAATGTTAACCACCTAGCAACCGCCCAGGAAAGAAGCTAATTGGGTTCTCTGATGACCCTTCCAATAAAGGCTTTCAAACTATCCTCACCCTTAATCCCAAGACCTGGGAGAAGACT